ACAAGACTTTGTTTTAGAACTAGAAGTCGTACTCGAGGAAGGGGACTTACCCTGCGCAGCAGGCTTGGACGAAGCTTTGGAAGTTTTCTACCTAGTCTTAGACTCTTTGGGTTTATCAAAGAGTAATGCGTCTTCATCATCTAGTCGTAGAAAGTCATCATCTATACTAGTTGCCTTCTATCAGGCGTTTCTTGGACTTTTTGTCACCAGTCACCACGAGTCTGAATCATGACGTCCGCCATTGTTTACTTAATAGAAATCTCAAACCTAACCGAGAATGAAATTAATTACTATAAAAATTATAAACTAGATTCAATCACATTATATCTTCAATAAGTGTATTAATTGACTTCCTCGGAGTCATAAAAAAAATAACAAATCAATTTACGAGGTTCCAATACGAGGTTACTAACGCACGTCAGTCACCAACGAAAGTTGACAGTACACTGAGGTTGCGGTTGCGCAGTGCTTTTCATCTGATTGCAGAAGTGATATGACGTAATAGAAATCAAATTGGGAGCTATTAAAATGAAAATGTAAACCACAGCAGGTAATTCTGTGGACTTTCTAATTAAGATTTGATAACAATGCGTGTTGTTGATATAAAGTAAAAGTTTTTCAACAAATACCAGATCAATAATTTTCGACAAGTGATACATGCAATATAATTGTTATGTTGAGAACATGATACACTAGAAAAATCTTTGTGAAATCATTCATACTGGAAAGATGTAAAGAGTATCAACAATATCAGATAAACATTCTGCATAATAGATAGATATAATGTTATCAAATATAGATAGGATAATGCTGAAAAGGTACTAACAAGGGAAAAAGGGAAATAGAATATGGTATGTCTTGATTTTCAAAGTCTTACATTAAAGCTATTGGTATCAACGTTTACAAACAGCTGAAAACCAGTATATCTATATTTCTTTATAGGGAAAATGTTCGATTCTAACTAACATTGTTTATTTGTAATTACAATAAATTTAAGAATCAACCAAAACTAACGTATTCTCATACAAACCCTTTAAAGGTACCTTCTGTATGATGCCATAGCTATAACTATTGTCATCACTTATGTACTAAAGTTTAGTTTTGTATCATCCCAGTTATATGACAAACAAAGATTGAAATCGTAAAGTATACATTTCAAGGTCTAATTTGGCCAAATTAAGCCACTATTACATTCTGCTAGATAAACAGTATAATTAAGGAGCATCTGTACTTGGGGCTTATTTGGCCCTATGAATTCACAGACAATTAACAAAAAAACTTGTTAGATTTATTTTTGTAAGCTTTAAAAGAAAGGGTACAGATAGTTTGTTAACTTTGACGACGTCATTAAAGTAACGTCATATACGCTATTTTTCAAGACTTTGGTTAATTTTAGAAACATTTTGGCTATTTTAAAATGTGCAAAGAGCACACACGTCGTCAAACATGTTTTATTTTTATAATACATGTAGATAAAGATAAATTGAGAAACTGTGGAAATGAATATTTGGTTGACGGTTGGCATCTTTTATTTTCTATAATCGCAAATCAAAAAATCAAAACTTTGTGCGTTTTACTGTCATTTTGTTGCTGTAATTCCCAATCAAAATTTGCAATGTTTATTAATTATATATAAAGTTAATAGATAAAGTATTTGATTTTTCAGAGACAATGGAACGTTTTATATGCATGAATATTGTAAATACAGAAATTATCCGTGTATTTATCATTTTGATTGTTGAAGAATGGACATCAATGCGATATTATTATTGCGATTTCAGGAAATACTGCATAAAAATAATGCTTTCGAAATTTTAAATGTGAGACGTTTGTTTTTGCAAACATATTCCGACGCAATTTTCAAAACAATAAAAACATCACAATTTCAATTTTACAGTAGTAGAAATAGTTGTATATGTATACATTTAAACTTTTTAAATGTTTGCATCTGATTGTTTCTGATGAAGAATGTTAGAATGTAGAAATATAGAATGTTAGTTAAATTGAACATTTGATCCTGTCTTCCGTTCTTTCAACTTTCACCCGGTCTTGCAACCTGTAGAGTTCATGATATTCCCTGAATTTTTGTTTGTTATCTTGATTTTTATCTTACTATCTTCATTAATGATTAATGATATTTGAGAGAAACTGGTATTGCCTAAATGTCTTAGATTACCACTTAATCAACACACTATCATTTTGTGGTTAGAATTCCAAGAAAATAAGAAAATTTACATTAAACGGAACAAATATTACTGCAGAAGATGCGCATGTCGATAATTAATGTTTCTTTGAAGCTCGAGGCAAAAAAGGTTGAAAATTCAAAACCTTGTAGCTGATATAACCGAACGTTACTTACATATGCATGATAGCCGAACCAAGGTTTTCCATTTAAGAGTTTAGCATGAAGGGTATAAACTCCTAAATTCGATAGGATTTCTTAAATTTTGTTACGTCAAATTTCAACAAAACAATATCTGTATTTCATGGTAACACCATGATACAATATATCTTGATTGCATATATGTTCTGTCGATATATGCAAGTTAAAGCATCATATATTGACAGTTTCTACATTACAATTACCAATAATATTGCACAACTAATGAGGAGCTTATTTTGCATGTTGGAATAATGGAGTGATGTATAACATTATATTTCCTATCATGATTTCCTTGATAGAGTGTTGTTTCCACAAGGAAGCTATTAAACTAAGAGTTCCAAGTGGTGAAGTTGAAATCATCCCTTCGTAAGTTTTAGGGTCGCAATCACGAGTTGGTTGACCGTTATGGAATATCCGTTTCACTTATGATAGCGAATATGTTCCTAATGTCGTAAGTACAATCCCGTACCCCTTTTCCCGAATGCGATCTACCGAATTTGACTTATTACCGGGTTTGTACTAACATGAGCAACACGACGGGTGCCACATGTGGATCAGGATCTGCTTACCCGTCCGGATCACATGAGAACACCCCCAATTGTTAGTGGGGTTAGTGTTGCTCAGTCTTTAGTTTTCTATATTGCGTTTTGTATACTATTGTTTGTCTGTTTGTCTTTTTCTTTTTTAGCCAAGTCGTTGTCAGTTTAATTTAGACTTATGACTGTTCAGTGGTTGTTGTTTGTGTGGTTCATAAGTGTTTCTCGTTTCTCGTTTTTTATATCGATTAGAAGGTTGGTTTTCCTGTTTGAATTGTTTTACACTAGTCATTTTTGGGCCCTATTTGGCTTGCTGTTATTTATATTATGAGCTTGAATGTCTCTCTGGTATCTTTCGTCTCTCTTTTACTTAAGACATTGGGCGAAGGTCTTTCATTTAAAGTTTTTTTTTTAGATTTCAACAATGGAGTCGTATTTTGACATTTGGTATTTACCGCGGATATCTCTGTAATTCACCATTAAGTTTTCATATTAAATATGTTCATTCATGACTATGAAAGACGTTAGTGAAAATGTCTACATAATCTGCACAAAATTATGCAGAAAATTATAATCAGGCTAGAATGTTACCATATATGATATCAAATAACATTAACGGTACCAATGTGTCTACACCAGATGCGCATTTCGACAATAAATGTCTCTTTAGTAATGCTCAACAAATAGACAAATAACATTCTACAAAACACGACATAGAAAAATAAAGACTGAACAACACAAACCCCACTAAAAACCGGCGGTGATTTTAGGTGCTCATGTAAGCAGATTATGCTCTACATGTCGCAACCGTAGTTGCTCATGTAAAAACCAATTCGATGCTTAAAATTTTTTGGCGACGCCACACTCGAGAAAATAGGACGGGAATGTGGTTATGTTAACACATCCATCGTCATCTGTGAAATAAATAGTCCATAACAGTCATTCAACTCGTCATGAAGTCCGTAAATCTCTGATGCATAACTTCAACTTTATCACTTGTAACCCTTTGCTTAAACGTTACGAAAAATTAGAAAAACAAAAATACCGAACTCTATAGGGAAATTCAAAACAGAAAGTCCTTAATAAAATGGCAAAATTAAAAGCTCAAACACATCTAACGGATAAAAAACAACTGTCATATTCCTGACTTGGTACAGGCATTTCCTTATGTAGAAAATGGTGGATTATACCTGGTTTTATGGGTAGCTAAACCTCTCACTTGTATGACAGTCGCATTAAATTCCATTATATTGACAACAATGTGTGAGCAAAACAAACAGACATAATAGGTAAAAAATGGCATATAGACAAAGTACATAAGCAAAAATGAAAGACAAGAATTCCAAATTGACCATAGCACAATAACAAAATGACGGGATGTATAAGTACCGAGCCACGTCATGAGTATAATCAAAAATGGACTAAAGGTTAAAAATATACAAGGAAAAAAAAAAGGGGAAACTTTAACACGTTATTAAGATGATAAACAACGTCAGTACCTAGAATCTATACTTCATGACCATCATTCATTATTTGTGAAGTTGATACGGAATATTTATTAACAAGATCTTGGTATCTTCCAATGAACTTTTTAAGAAAAAGGACGAGACGTTCTTTGACATAACCTTGGCTAATCCACTTTCTACTCAGACACTGGTGACGTTTTATAAAGTCTGAGTAGCAGCTGCAAGCTCTTGAATAACGACTGAGTTGGGAAATGAATATCCCATATGCAGGTGAAGTTGGTATATTGCTGCTAAGGTGGGGAAAATTTATAATTTCAAAATTAAATCTTCTGGCTTGTCATAGACTCTGGTATTGAGATTACCGCTTATGTCAAATTCGAGGTATAAGTCTAAACATGGAAGGAGCCGTGTCTGTTGTTTCTTAATTTCGAATCCTGGAGGATATATTAATGGAACCCACTCAGAAAAGTTTGGATTGTTAATTGAAAGAGCATCATGAATTTATCTGAATGTGAAATTAAATGATCGGGCTTCTTTGATTTTCTTGTATTTGACAAGTGTTTGCAGGAACGCAAGCTAAAATATATTCGCTTAGATCGGTGTTACAAAGGAACCATGTTCCAGAGTAAACATGTAAACAAGTGTGATAATGTTGACATGGATTGGACGAGGTAAGGGAATATTACCGGAGGTCAACGTTATTGTGGATTTAAGATGAAAGGATTAAGACAAAAATACAGTTAAGGAGCGGAAATTCTACATATAAACTAGTGTAAATACTAGAAAGTAATACTCGCATGCAATGGTAAGAGTAATACTTTAAATATGTATGAATAAAGCAGAAAATTACGACATTATATTCTCAAAAAGTATCCCCGGTTTTAGTTATAGCAAAGCGGGGGAACACGATTGAAGGTTTTTGATCATTTTTCTTAATCATGGTTTAGTCGTTGATTATACAATATTTTCGTCTATTTATGGCGGAAATGCTTTGTCCTTGAATTACAAAGAAATGACGACAGGATCCCGTCCTCCTTTCCTCCTTTGACCTACCGATAGAGTCTTATCACCGAATTTGTACTTATATGAGCAAAACGACGTGTGAAGCAGGTTGTGTTTACTCATGAAATGGGGTTCTTGTTGCTCAGTCTTTGGTTTTCTATGTTGTGGTTTATATACCGTTGTGTGTCTTTTATTCGTTTATTGTTTTTTTGCCATTGCGGTGTCAGTTTGCTTTTGTTTTATGAGTTAAGATGTCCTTTCGGGTCTTTTTGCTTCGGTCTCATGTGCTTTCAAAAATTGTCGTGGTCAACTCAAAATAAATACTTACAAATAGCTCATAAGTTTCAAAAATACATAAAGACGATGATAGTATTTACGAAAAATACAACAGACCACAACAGAACGCAATATATATATACTAAAGGTGTGAGTTCAAATCCCATTGAGGGAAAAACGTTTGTCAGCATAAAAATGTAATTCTAACACTGCTGGGTTTAATTTCAGACTTGTATATATATATATATATATATATTAAATACTAAGACTTGTTGTATTACTGTTTAAATTGTGTCTACAAAAATTAAGACATTATGTATATGATAGTATTATAAAGTGTCTGCATAGATATATTAGACTAACATAAGTTTTAAACTATAAAAAGATAGCATTATATTATCAAAACTTATAAGTAATAAACACACAAAAATATAAAGTTTTAAAATTGATTTTATTGAAGAATAGTGGATACATTGATTTTCAAACAACCAATGGTATAAACACTAATTTATAATGTGTTTTTAATACGCTGATTAAGCCTTTGCATATATTGTGAATCTTCTATGTGTATACATGTTTTTCGTTATTCCATTAGTGAACTATTAATTCAACAAAACACTCAAAAATGAGATTGAAATTTACTGTTTTCATCATAACTGCTATATTGTCATTAAAACACATTGTTGGACGTGGTAATACAAACGTATTCAATTCAAACAAAGGTTACAGCATTGTTGGGATCAGCAGTCTTATATTCTACGTTTCAAGAAGTATAATTGAATGTGCATGTCAATGTGCAATCGAGGAAGGATGCCGGACTTCAAGTTTTGACAACTCAGCACAAAAGTGCTACCTTTATGTAACAGATGTGTGTCCCGAAATAAAAGCTTCACAGACAAGCTCTGTTTTAAGTATTGGAAAAACAGGTTTGTTTTATTTCTTTATCTTTCTTGCTTTTCGTTGGAGTAGTTGCACTATTTACATGAAATGGCAGTTGATAAACAGCTGGGACCATATAGTGGGTTCTGGGTATTTTATTGTTATCTAATTTATAATAACTGACTGGACCTAACATAGACAAATATATATATATACTTTAAATAAAAAAAACTGACCCTCATCAAACCACTTTCATTATTATTAAAACGTGACTGGTTTACACATTTATGTAGTCAAAAGCTTTGAAAAAGAATATACAAAATGACACAGTTCTATGTTGAACTGTTAAAACTGAGCAAAAGAAAGTAAGTTTTTCCAAGAAAATCAAGTGTTAAAATTCTAATTGAATACAGTTGGATTTTGTAATTTTACAATAAAAGATTGTGATAATCTTTTGTTTTTGTCTGACATTTGAAGAGTTATAACACTCTGCGTTTACTCTGAATTGATACACATACAAATACAAATATCTTCTATTCCAAAATATAGTGCCCATACAAAAGAGGGATTTTTTGCATGCACATCTAATTAACGACTTACTTCCTAGTTTAATTAGCCAATGACTGAAGGCAAATTTGGGTACCATTTTTGCTTAGACGAGTAATTTGTCAACTACAGATAGCAAAAGATATGGCATTTCATATTTGTACAAATATTCATTAGAACAATAAAACTTTTGTTTCAAGTTTAAACGTAAACACCGTTTTGAGAAATAAAATTGTAATCTATTCATTCTTCATTTTAAACCGTCTTATATATGTTCTTAGAAAAACCTTCGTCATCTGCATGCAAAAGACAACGAATTTTGTTGTTCGTCAGATCAGCAGGGTCAACATAAATAAAATGTTTCTGGCAGATCATTATAATAACTTAAAAATGTTGGGGCTTCTTACATCGACTCGCCTTGTCTAACTCCTATAAAAGATCTGAAAATATGGATTCATTAATTTTAACTGTTAACAAAAACTCTTCAAAGATTTACTAGGATTATAATGTTGTACGCCAGACGCTTGTTTCGTCTACAAAAGACTCATCAGTGGCGCTCGAATAAAAAAAGTGTACATGCATAACTGTGCAAAATGCTTCCTTAAGATCTACAAAACAAACAAAATATCGTCCGACCTATCTTTTTATCATTGCTACATTTACTATATCAGTGGGTTTTTTTTCAACAAATACGAAATAAGAAATTGTTGATGTTTTGGTTCTTATACATCCAGCAGAAGAGAGTTTAATTATATTGTAACACAGTGATGACTGCTGTACCCATATTTTGACTATTTTATTTATAATGTCTGTTTTGTTCACGCATCGTTGTAAATATAACGGAATTTGATGAGACTGTCGTACAAGTGAGAGGTTTAGCGCTATAAAACCAGGTTCAATCCACCATTTTCTACATTTGAAAATGCCTGTACCAAGTCAGGAATATGACAGTTGTTGTCCATTCGTTTGATGTGTTTTGTCATTTGATTTTGCCATGTGATTAGGGACTTTCCGATTGAATTTTCCTCGGAGTTCAGTATTTTTGTGATTTTACTTTTTATATGGAACCTGCATTCAAAATTTTAGCTGGAATTCACCTTATCGACATACTTTTCCACATTTTAGTTGCAATATGGATTCAGAAATTTCTTTTTTTGCAATTCAGTAAAAATTTTGGTTTATATGAAAATCGTATACTTAGAAAGAAATGATTAATCATCTAAATTAGGTATAGCATTTATCAACAAAATCATATATTTTTTCTTTGCAGATGTTGAGTGCATTGATCCTTGGAAGGCTTTCAAAACTAATTGTTATTATTTTGGGACGACTTTCCTGTCAATGAATGACGCTCAGGTAACCACATTATTTCATAATATCTTACTAATAACTACTTACTATAGGATTAAACAAATTTTTTCTAGATGACTTTTATGTAAAATTTGTGAGTCAGCGACCCAGTTTACACATTAAAAAATGTGTTTAATCCTTATAATTTTTTGTTTAATCATGACTAGTCCATATGGTTAATTTTTCTGCTGGCATCACTTTGCGTCCATCGTAAATTTGCATTAACATCACCTCCTCTGAAACCAAAACAGGCTATTTTAATCAAACTTATCAGGAATAATATATCGAAGGTTTTGATTGTTTTTCTTCATTTCACTGATTGGATCTTAACATTTTGTTTGGATGGCAAAAAATGCGGCATTGGTAACACAATGTTATCACTAAAACTCTATGGAAAATCACATTGGCTTCAAATTGCTACGTTGGAGTGATGTATGGTGGATTTTGTACAATAATCCTCATGTTGTGCTCATCAGATGAAAACAATGGTCGCTAGGGGTAATTTTTTTATTCCAATTAACCATATATTTTTTTTTAATTTCACCCTATGAAATTTAACTACAAAGCGAAATGTTTGAAACATCAGGGGTTTGATTTGAAGATATTTTTCTTCTTTAAAGGATCATCTTGAAAAAAAACAGATCTATACACGGAATCATATAACCACCAATACCCGACTCCGTCGAAATAAAAAAACCCAGAGAGACAAACACAGTCAAACATTAACATAGAGCACATGGTCCAGATAGCATGACTTGGTATAGGCGCATACAAATTGCGGAGTAAAACCAGTTTTTAGTGCACACCAACGCCCCTTTAGTATCACTTTACCATATATCGTAAAACTGAAGCATATAATAACACATCTGTGTGCACAGTGCTGCTACCAAAAGTATGACCACTGACTTGAACAAAGAACAAATCAAAATATAATTTCTAAAGCAGAGTAAAAAAAAGTGCGCGCTACTACAGCATGCTAGATAAAGTGGTAACAGCAATTGGTTGAATACTGCAACAAAATGAAAATTAGTAACAAACTGGCACTGCCAACAAATTCTCCCATTTGAACCATACCCTCACCCCAAACTGCACATTTATGACAGAAACAAAAATGAGAGCCATTTATGGTTTTGTTGTATTTCAAAGGTACAAAATACTTTTTAGGATTGACATAGAAAAAACAGATATTTTCTTCTTTTGGTATTTTTCTGATTTATGAAATGTGTCACATTAATGGAACAAACAATAGAATACAATTAAAAATGACTTGACCAATCAGATTAATACGAAACAAAAAACAACTAAAACATAAAAACATTCAATTATTTTTGACATTTTACCTATTGTGTCTGTTTGTTTTGTTCACGCATCGTTGTCAATATAATGGAATTTGATGCGACTGTCATACAAGTGAGAGGTTTAGCTAGCTATAAAACCAGGTTCAATCCACCATTTTCTACATAAGAAAATGCCTGTACCAAGTCAGGAATATGACAGTTGTTTTCAATTCGTTCGATGTGTTTGAGCTTTTGATTTTGCCTTTTGATTAGGGACTTTCCTTTTTGAATTTTCCTCGGAATTTAGTATTTTTGTGATTTTACTTTTCAATACCTTAAAA